GCGACAATCACAGAGCAGCTGTTGTGGCTAGGTGGCCCGGCCCCAGCTTGCCTCACCCTGCTGCTTTCTGCCAGCCTAAGAAAACCGCCTTCACTGCCCAAAATTCACACCCGCTGCGCAAAAACAGGCGGAAGGCAGACACAAAAGCAAATGTGACTCAATGTGTTTGCATCCGGTGAAAACTGCGCAAATTATGGAGTTCTTATCAACGCTGGTGGCAGCGGTAGTGGTGGAAGGGGCTGGAATTCTAAATTTACATGTGGCAGGATGCCTTGAAACCAATTTATCATCAAAATAACAGACACACAGAGACCTACATGACCTTGCCCTTCAGAGATCTCACTGGTGAACTGATAATGACCTACTGTGATATGTACTTTTTGGTACTTTTGCACCATATAAATATATGCTTGCTTTTGAGGGTGAGGATCATCTTGTTTTGGCACAAGAGCTTGTCTGACAAATCTAATTTATCATTGACTTAATTTTCAACACCCAGAGAAGCCCCAAAAACGCAGCGTACAGCGAATAAAATTGAATAGTGCGTGACCTGGTGATGGCACAGCTGCTGGGACCATACCATTAAAAATGAGAGCACTACAAAAAGGGCAATTTAAGAGTCCTAGCTTTTCGATTTTATCGAATTATTTTATTTTATTTGAGTGCTATTTACATAAAGCTTCAAGATGACTGTTTTGCTTTGAGCTGACGAGGAACAAACTTGAAAAGTAGAGAGATTGCTGATTCATTCATTCAGAAATCAGAAAACACGTTTTTCATTATTTTGTTAAATTGGTTAAACACAGTGGTCTGCAGAATAATGCCATACTAACACTGATATATAACTTTTTAAAGTTCTTTACTGCAAGTTGAAATTCTTATGTGTTAAGAAAATTGAGTATTGAATCATGCTTCTTGCTACGATTAATGCTGTGGTATTTCTGATTTACTGATTTCTTGATTTCATAGTCAACAGCTCTCAGTTTTAGACTAAACCGATAACCAAAGTGTTTCGTAACGTTAAATTTTTAAAGATTTACTTTCGGTCAAACAGCTTTTCCACAGACTTTGGTGTGGAGTGTTGTTACACTTAGATTTACTGGACTTCAGGCAGATCACTGCACTAGTATTAAGGCAAATTACCCTTAATTACACAAATTAAGTTATTAAAGCCTTTTTTTAAGAGGGCAGAGCTTGAACGTAATGTATTAACTGATTTGCTGTGCAGCAGTAGTGTAGGGGCAAAACATCACTGCTGCAGGTATGTGAGAAATAAGCAATCGGGGATGTGACTGCAGGTTTTCCAACCTCATAGAAGACTGTACTACTGGCCTTGGCAGACGTCTGCACTCTTTGATTGCCTTTCTAGTTATTCATTGTTTAATGTAAGATATGACACAAACACTTTTTTCAGAGTGACTGAGAATAGGGCAATATTATATCAGTCACTTACTTCTGATGTCATCCATGTCACATATTTCACATAAAGCTGAAAATGGTGCGCATGGTATGTATTATATGTGTGTTCATTTTATTTTGGAGGGGTGAGGGCATAAAGAGGTGCCATACTTTATATTGTGATCATCAGAGCACAGACACACCCAACACAAAAAATAAATGGTAAATGG